GGGAAAAAAAACTGGGAAAACGTGATCCAATGTGGCAATGAGAGCTCTCCTACATTTTTAAAAGTTATGCTGAGTGCCAGAGGTCTCAGAGGTACATTGATTTGCCCGTGAACTCCAATAGTTTCTAATCACAAAGAAATTATTCAGCTTTCCTCTGCAACTAACATAAATATGTGGGAATAAGATTAAAGTGCTATATACACAGATAAAATTCAGTCAAATTTTTAAATTGCCCTTGGGCCAGTAAACTAATAAGATATAGTGACCCACTTAAGCAGCTTGTATGAGAAAAAATCCTGCATAAAGTCAGCAAAACCCTCTTTCTTTGCTGAGATGGTAGTCGTAGTGTGCTAAGCCTGCTTTTTTTCAGCAGCACTGACTTCTTTAAATGCATAGTTTGGCAGTCTCTTGCACAGAAGCTATGGAGTTAAGCCACCTAATTTACCAGCTATGAAAATGTTTCATTGAAAGATTTTACTAAATTTGGACAGTTTCTATTCAAATGCTGAACAAAGAATATTTTTTTTTTTTTTAAAGTACGTTTACGAAGTGTATACTTCAAAATACAAGATTATGAGCTTTCTGTATTTAGGATGAGTGAGTTCTACGGTTAATGTAAATCTCAAAGACAAATACATTTTCAAATAAAACTCAATGTTTGCCAATACTTCCTACTTTGTGGCACCAGAGAAATTACAGCTGTGGAATTGTTATAGCTATCATTAATACACACTGCAAAAATCCATGATGAGCTGGACTTACGGCTGGAGTCTGAGCACGGCCATGGAAACAGTAAGTGATACAGTGTAATAGTAGGGGAGAAAATGAAAAAAAAAAACAAAACAAACAAACCAAAAACCAAACCACGAAAACCAACAAAGTGTTGCATGGGTAAAAAAACCCCACATCACTCTCAGGTGAAATAAATACTACTTCTCCCCTCACCTAAGGGCCGGTTATCCCCTCCAGGGCCACCATCTCCCCATAACCACTTCCCAAGGGATAGACAGCCCTCCTAAGGAATGGTTATCCCCGTATGTCCACCCCCAAAGGGCTCTGCAGCCCCCCATAGCCACCCCAAGGGACAGGCAGCCCCCTCCCAGTGGCTGTGCACCCCCCCTTCTGCCACCCCAAGGGATGGGCATCCCCCTTCAAGGGCCAGATGTCCTCCCCAAAGAACAGGCATCACCCTGATGCCTTTTCCCAAGAACAAACCATCTCCCCCCCAAAAAAAGCAGGGTTCCCCCACCTGCAGTGCTGGTTACCCTCCCCGAGGGCCAGATACTCCCCCAGGGCCATGGTGGGGGGCACGAAGACACCGCACTCTTTGAGGGTGACCACAAGCACTGCCCATCCCTTTCCATGGGGAGCCAAACCCAACACCCCAGGGCTGGAGGCAAGGGGGGCACAGACCCCCCCATCCATGGGGCAGGGAACTGGCAAAAGGGCAAGGGGTAAATGCCACCAATAATTTGTGGGATAATTAGGTGTAACCTGGTCATCTTACACCCTGCTCAGGTCTTCGTTGGACTGACCTGGTGCTGCTCCCACCGGGAACGGCGCCCCGAGGAGCTGCTGAGGGCACCCAGGAGCAGCACCCACCCCGTGTGCCTCCCCATCCCCGCTGCCCACCCCGGTCCCCTGGAGCAATGATGGAGATGCTCATCCTGGTGTCTCCTTACCGAGCTCTCCTGGGCACGTGAAGGGTTTCTCCCCCGTCCGGCGATAGGCCTGTAGCATCTGGCGTGTCCCCAAATACAGAAGGGAAACGGCTATTCAGCACTTCTGCTGCCTGATTGCTATTAACAGCTCCACCATTCCTCTTCCTCAGTGGACCCGCACTACCGCTGGGCAGCTGCTGCTTTTTATAAACTTAATTTAAAAAAACTAAGTTCTCCTCCGCCTCTCCGGTTCCCCCAATTCTCCATCCACTCCCTGCCTGTCACCATCAGTTTCCACCTGGGGCTCTCCTGCCCTGCAGACAGGGAAATGGCATCAACGTCCTTGGAAAAGTTGTGAGATGGTCAACCAAGACCCACTTGGTGTCTGCTGCATCCCGGGGCTGAGCCAGATTTGCCCCATCCCGGGGCAGGGAGGGTTTCCCTGGAACCTGGGCTCCCAGTGCTCCAGGACCGGCTTCCCCAGCCCCATCCTGGCTCGCCCACACTGGCACTGGGCTCCTGTGCCCCCTGAACACTGCACAGGACTGGTCCCGGCAGGATCCCCCCCGCCCCCCCTGCCTGCTCTGTGCCATGCACCTCTGTCCCGCTGCCCACCCACCGCCTCCGTGGTCCCCCAGGACCAGCTGCCCCCCCAGGACCCACACGGTCATGGCACGGTGACATGCGCCCCGAAGGAGAGGGTGTGGGGCCAGTTTGGGGATCCCAAGCTCTGCAGGAAGAAGGGGGGCTGACAACCCCAGTGGCAGGGCCACACCAACGGGGGTTGAAAACCCAACTGGAAGACACCTGTGGGCAGGAGGGGGCTCAGCCTGCCCTCGCCCTGACGCCGCAGCGATGGGCTCTCAGACAGCTCTGGGTGCCGCGGTGGGGTCTGCTCTGAGCCGGGGGCTTTGGCTCTCCCTGCAGGACCCCTATTTCCCTTGGAGCCACTCGGGAGGGGACACGGAGCCCCGCAGGCCACCGGCCTTTGGGGGAGCAGGACGGGAAGCGGGGGGATCGGCTGGTGTGCAGGGAGGCTTTGCTTGCTGCGTCTTGCTGACCGGCTGTTTTATATCAAGGCGGGAGGGGGGATTTGCTGTTCTAGATGGTATTTTAATGGGCAGGCAGGCAGCTGGAGCCTGGGAGAAGCCTGCTTTACATTGTTTGGGGTTGTAACAAATAAATTCAATTAAAGGCAAATGGCTCCGCGCAGCCCCCACCCTGCGCAGTGTCTCTGCGGCACCGGTGGCTGCGAGAGCCGCG